TGCCTCGCTCAGCCAGTGAGCGGGAACCGGTCTGTATGTGGGATCTGAACCCTCGGGCGGGAGCGCTGCCGCGCTTCCCAAGCGGCGCACTATCCAGTGCACCACCGGGCCGGCCCGTGCAGGATACTTCTGTAGGCATTGAGAAACCAGTAATGAATTAAGAGACAAGGCAAACAAGCAAACAAACAAATGGAAGTCCACATGGGCCTCATATTCTAGAGAAAGATGGCCTTTCTGTTCTCAGGTTCAATCAAGAATAGTTTATTCAGTTCAAAAGTTAAGTGTTTCTTCCTTGCATCCACTATGAATTGAACCAGCCAGACATCACTCAACAGGCGATGGGACAATGTTACGGGGTAGTGCTGGGTCAGCTGGCTCTGCTGTGGAGCACACCTCAGCCCTCAATCAGAAAACTGAAGATGTCTAGAAAAGTTTGTTTGTTTGTTTTTCCTAGAGACAGGGATAAATCTCATTTTGGCCCAATATGTATTTCTGATAAATGGCTACTCTATCAGGAGTTACTTTCCTTATTTCACTTGTCTGGAACAGGAATTTCCAAACTTTAGTGGATTATCTGGAGAATTACTTGGCGAATCATCTACTTTCCTCAGGTGCTTAGAATCCTGTGGGGAGCTAAAAATAAGCTTATGCCACATTTAGTTGCAATTACACTTGAGACCGAAGGTGCAACCCAAGTCAGAAAAGCACGATCTGTGGAGTTGGGGTGGTGAAGGTTTCTCTGTGGAGCTGAGATTGTTTGTAACTTACGTTATCATACAATTTGTGTAAAAGCCACCTGACTTCCAGGGGCCACACCAGACTCATGGGTCTCCCTCAAGGCTGCCAAACTGAGGGAAAGACCCAGTAGCCACATTCTGTTGGGGGAGAAGCTAGTCTTGCTTTTGCCAAGATAACCTATTGAGTTTTTTGTTTTGATTTTGAAGACTGAGAAGACAGAAGAGATACATCACCAATTCCAAAAGCTTTTGACTGAAATAAGCAAACTCACTAATGATTATGAACTGAACATAGCCAACAGGCTGTTTGGAGAAAAAACATATCTCTTCCTTCAGGTAAGTTTTTCTGTGTCACCCCATCTGTGAGTGGTATTCATGAATGACTGAATGACCCTGTTAGGATGGTGGGTGCTGAGCGCATGCTACCTGAGCTGCCTGCCTGGTTCAGCCCATATCGCTGGTGTGCTCTTCTGGCCTGCTGTCCAGACATTCAGAACCTTTGGGAGCTTCTTATTAGTCCTGGAAATCTGAACCTGATTTTTGCCTTAACCCCATTGCACCTGCATGGAGTTACTCAAAGTGATTTACCCAGGGCCAAAAATAAAAATCCCTCTTACAACATTAGTCATCCTAATGTAGAGATAAATTTATTTAGAGATGCTGGCAATTGATAAATTAACTTTTCATCTTCTTTCTATTCTTTCTCTGTTTTTCCTAAAGAAATACTTAGATTATGTTGAAAAATATTACCATGCGTTTCTGGAACCGGTTGATTTTATAAATGCAGCAGATGAAAGTCGAAAGAAGATTAATTCCTGGGTTGAAAGTCAAACAAATGGTAGAGTATGGGTGGGACATTCATCACAAAAACACTCACGGGACTGTGAGTGAAGCCCTGGTCTTCATACTACATGGGGTGCCAGGTGGACAAGCTTTGGAGGGGATTCGAGTTGGGTTTTGCAGGGTCAGGAGGGCAGGCATGGGCATGGGGAGGGGGGAGGGCACTGCAGATGGTGAAATGGTCTCAGCAAATGTGGAGAGAGTCAAAGGGGACGAGGGATGGGATGACAGGAAGCCAACAACATGGAAACACTTAGTGGAGAATTATTTGCACGTGGACATAAATCACCATAACTTTGGGGCTCCTGAAATTGCACTCATTCCTGTGTTGGGTTTACATTCTTTCCTTTATATCAGAGCCTTTATTTCTGAGTCTGGGTCTTTAAGTGACAATGTCATAGAGGGTTTCTCTCTTTACGTAAGAAACATGCAGGTCTCCCATCAAGACCTGTCTTTGCTGCCTACAGCTGGGGCTATTTGTGCCTCATCTTCACCTGAGCATTGTGCTGGGATAATACCAACCTTTAGCTCCATCCATAGCAGAGAATTTGATAAACACTGGAGGGGAATGTTAATGTGGAAATACTCTCTGGGGAGCAATAACTAATACTTCAGTGTTAGAGTTTCAGATTACATTTTTTACTCCAGTTATTAGGAAGAACTCTGTTATTTCAGAATGCATTTTTTTTCTTCATGCTTAGTCCAAAGAAAGAAAATTAAAAGAAGCAGAAAAAGAAGGGCTTATCAAAAGATTGGTTGAACTGGGGCTGGCCCGGTGGCGCACTGCTACAGTGCGCTGCTTGGGAGCGTGGTGGCGCTCCTGCCGAGGGTTCAGATCCCACATACAGACCGGTTCCCGCTCACTGGCTGAGCGAGGGGCGGGTGCAGCACCGAGGGTTGCGATCCCGTTGCCGGTCCCGGTCCGGTATGGGCACGACACTGAGGGTTGCGGTCCGTTGCTGGACACGAAAAAAGACAAAAAGGAAAAAAAAAAAAGATTGGTTGAACTGTATTTTTTAGAATTTAGTGTAGGATGGGCTGAACCTAGAGACAACTTCTTTTCTAATAGAAAAATAATCTCTAAATCTCACGTGGTAACTATATAGAATGGGTAAGAATACTAATGGTTAACACTAATTATGTGCCAGATAGTGTTCTAAATGCTTTACACGTATTAAATCATTTACTCCTTTCAACGACCCTATGAGGCAGGTTTTACTCCTATTTTACAGATGTGGAAACTAAGGCACAGACAGCTTAAATAACTTGCCCAAGATTCCTCAGTTGATGAGAGGAAAAACTGGATGCTAACAGAGGCAATCTGGTCCCAGAACCCAGACTCTTAACCATCAACCTCAATTTATCCAGCGGGATAAATAGGTGAGGGGGAAAGTGAGAACCTCCTTCCTGCTTACGCCAGTGAACACTTTGTTGGCAAGGCCTCCAGGTGCTGACCTGGCTGAGTTTTCAGTGATCAGTCAAGTCCATCTGCATCATATTTGCCATATATATATACCACTTGTAATTTGGAAGATGAGCCAATTTTTTTTTTTGTTTGCTCATTTGCAGAAAAAATCAAGGACCTTTTTCCAGATGGCTCTCTTAGTAACTCCACCAAGCTGGTGTTGGTGAACACAGTTTATTTTAAAGGGCAATGGGACAAGGAGTTTAAGAAAGAAAATACTAAGGAGGAGAAATTTTGGCTGAATAAGGTATGGTTCTTATTTTAGGTACTTGATATACTTACACATGGAATGTAAAATCTAAAGTCATATTTGAGCAAACGTACACTGGTAGATAGCAAATGCTCATTCTGAGACTCTGATCTTTAGCATTATTTTAGGTTGAGCTAATTAATTTTCGGTGAGGTAACTTTGTTGCGTTATGCCTTTGGTCTTGTGTCTTTTGACATTGTGTGCTCTGTTGCAGAGTACGAGTAAGTCCGTGCTGATGATGACACAACGCCACTCCTTTAGCTTCACTTTCCTGGAGGACTTGCAGGCCAAAATTCTGGGGATGCCATATAAAAACAATGACCTAAGCATGTTTGTGCTTCTGCCCAATGACATAGATGGTCTGGAGAAGGTAAACACCTGCATCTCTCTATTCTTGCTTTCATTTCCAGAGGCTTTGTGTCCCAAGGCATGTTTGGGTAAGCCTGGAAACAGGGCTTCTGAGTAGGAGCTGGGGTCTGGCAGTGTCAAATAGGAAATATTTCTCACTCTGTGCTGCAGCCATGGATGGATATCTAAAGAGAAGCATTAAACTGTATCTGGTTTATTGAAAACAACCAATACTAAAATATTTTGATGGAATAAGCTAGAATGAACATTTAAGATTATATGATAATTCTAAAGGTCATCCATCATTCTGAGAAGTGGTTGATATCTATGGACCACTTTTCTGGGGAAAATGTCACAAACTGCACGTATATAGCACATTTTGCATACTATTTACTAGGCTCTTGGACCTTTTGAATGAATTTCTTTCTTAGACCTTTAGTCTTAAACCCATTGATTTAGTCCCACTCATTTTACAGTTAAAAAATTAATGTGGTTAGTGTCCTATATTTTGGAAATCAGGAAGGCTTTGTGTTAAATCCCTGTTCCTTTAGTAACTTTCTGACCCTTGAAGCTTTTTAAATTGCTTGAATCTCAGTATTTTCCCATCAATAGATTGGGCTTTATGGTGCTTAATGTGTAATGCTGTTGTAATGTAGAGAAATGTAACAGCCTAGAATGGGTCTAGGACATAGACTGCACTCAATAAATGATACCTGCTATATTACTACATTAACATATGTGGAGCTATTGCTGCGAAACTTTACTAGTAGCATTATAAGTTACTAATATTTTGGAACAGCAAAATGGCAGTATGTATGGGAGCTTAAAGAGTATTTATATTCTGACTCAAAAACCCCAGATGTGGGAATTACCCTAAGGAAATAATTCAGAAGAAAAAATATTGCCTTTTGAGTCAAATCGGTAATTTCAGCATTAAATACACTGTTGGAAATTCATAGAAATTATTATTCTTTATCCACAGTATCTATCAGCATTATCATAATGTCTGATACATACTAGATGTTTGTAAGGTAAATGGATAGATGAATGTTGGGTAAAATTTATTAACTTGATGGGAATATTTTTCTAGCTGTTTGAAGATATTTGAGAGTTATGCAGTAGTGTGAAAAAGTTTACATCATATTAAAAAAATAAACATACACTGTAATTGCAATTATGTAAATATATATATGCATATAAAGACTAGGGTTAATACAAATGAAATAATATGTATTAGATTGATATAATAAGAAATGCCTTATTTTTAATCATTAAAATTTATTTATTGTATTACATTTTCACATACACACAGATAATTTCTCTATTTGATAGAGAAATATAAGACAACTGCCTGCTATATGAAGACAATTGGTCTAGTGAAATAAAATTTCTAGTTTTGTTTATTACTGAAATTAATAATTTCTGGTTGATACAAATCAATGTTACATTATTTTAATTTTTTATTGGTAATCATGTCTTTCTGCTCTCCTTTAAAAAAATAGATTATAGATAAAATAACTCCTGAGAAATTAGTAGAGTGGACTAACCCAGGGCATATGGAAGAAAGGAATGTGAATTTACACCTGCCCCGGTTTGAAGTGGAGGAAAGTTACGATTTTGAGGATGTCCTGGCAGCCATGGGGATGGGAGATGCCTTCAGTGAGCAGAAAGCCGACTATTCAGGAATGTCTCCACGCTCCGGGTTGCATGCCCAGAAGTTTCTTCACCGGTCCTTCATGGTGGTGACGGAGGAAGGCACTGAGGCTACAGCTGCCACCAGCATTGGCTTTACTTTCTCATCAGCTGCAGGTTATGAAAACGTTCACTGCAATCATCCTTTCCTGTTCTTTGTCAGGCACAATGAGTCCAGCAGCATCCTCTTCTTTGGCAGATTTTCTTCTCCTTAACACAGTCATTGCCACGGCATTGCTACTGTTCCAGAAAACCACCTCCAGTGTTGGAGTATTAATATGATTATGGAAATTGTCCATTCTTTTAAAATTGGTTTTACTTAGTTGCATTTCAGTCTTACCAACAAATCAATAATTTAATGACTGTAATAGCATGTGTGTTTATATAACTTTCCTTGAAAGTAGAATGTCTTTTTGTTTGTGCCGTGCATAGGGTGAGTCAAACCAAAGTCACTAAGTTCTTTTGGAAGTAAATCAGTATCTTGTAGTTTTGTGCATGAATGAGAGAAACAGTCTTTTCAGTGAAGAGTATGAACTTGTGATTTTGGGGGTCCCTCCAGTTCCAGTATTATGGTATAACACACATGTAAAATAAAACAATAATTTACTCAATACATGTGTTACTTTTTTCTTTCTCAACAGATAGTGTGGCAAACTGGACGTAGGAAAGAGAATTTAGAAACACATTAGCAAAACATAAATTCAAATTCAAATGCCAGAACAAAATAAAACATTATATTAGGCAGG